CATTTTTTTGCGGCGAATATTATTGAGATGATGCAAATGCCGGAGAATTGCAAATGATCAACAAAGGAAACAGACAGTTGAACATTACGATCACTTCAAAAATGGCGCGAAAATATAGCTGTGACGTCTGCAACATTTGCTTAATTAGAGCTTAAAAATCACAATAGTGATGTAGAAGTGTGGGGCTAATGGCCTACCAAAGACCCAAAGTAGGGGTGAGCATGGGTCGGATATCCGTACCATTAACACTATCGGTTCGGATAACTAATAACACTAAATATGATATTCATTAACCGAACCGATAAGTTCGGGTATTCGGATTTTCTGATCGGTTATCGGGTACCCAATATGCTATCCAATAATGAAAATTTAGACTTTATAATCTAGTTATTATGATATCATTCAACACTAATTAACAATAATACTACATGATCATGAACAAATTAAAATATGAAGTGATTATGAAGTAAAGTAAGAGTTTAGATTATGGATATATAGATTTAAGTAGGAAAAAAAAAATTAAAAAATTGCTTAATGGATCGGATCGGATAACCGTTAATTTTAAAAATCCAATAACCGTACCCGATAACAAATTATCGGATCGGGTACCCTAACCGTTATGGCTATCGGAACGGGAACCCTAATTTTTGGTTCGGTTACGGTTCGAGTTTTCAGTTTTTCGGATAATTTGCTCAGCCCTAACCCAAAGTGCGTAGTGACAAAGGTTGAGGGCTTGTATAAGAGACGTCATAGATTCGAATCCGCTCCTTCATCGTAAATATTATGGTATATTGATTATTGAGATTTGAAATAACTAAAATATATGGTACTATTGTAATCAATTAAAAAAAGTTTAGAATAGATCCAGTGCACAATAAATGAAAATATACAATTAAGTAAAAGCCATTAATAACCTCAACTTTAGGTGGGTGTTCAACTTGTATCAACTCTAATTATGCAAGCCGAGGAATGATCCTACTTCATCTGGGGTGAATGGGGGAAGGAGAGAACACGCAATGTGCATACTGTATAAGCCTATAAGGTGATGCAAGTTTATATATGATGATACATGATTTTTATTTTTATTTTTGTCAAGATGAATTTTGTTTTTAATTACAATACACGATTTATACACATATGTCGAAATCTCGATTTCACAATGTTTTTATTTAGATCATGTCAACCTAGTGGAAGACCTGGAAGTTTTGTTTTTAATTGCAATACACGATTTATACACATATGTCGAAATCTCGATTTCACAATTTTTTTTATTAAATCATGTCAACCTAGTGGAACTGTGGAAGACCCAGAAGTGATTATTTCTCATTTTACTTCTGGGCAAAAAATCTAATATCATATTATATTACTAATAAATAAAGTCAGTCTCGCAGCCAGGCCACAAGACAGCGACACTTGACATTCCAGTTTTTCGCCAAGTGTCGAGCCATGTAGGCGACAAATAGATATTATTGATTATTGTAATTAGATTAGATGCCACATTAGATTAAATTGGATAGATTCATAGTTATCATAATCAAGATTCTACCTTGAATCGGTGAGTGGGGTAGGATCGAATCGGTAGAATCGTTGGGCTTCAAAATGTAACTAATGACTACATACATAATTTTCAAGCAATGAGAATGATAATAATATATATTGTTGATAACATAATATCGACTATACAAACATAAAATAGTTTTAGAAGTAATTCCGCACGCGCATAACACAAATAGTACACTACAAAGTCAGAATATTGGTACACATTCTTAATCACGAGAGTACGAGACCATTTTTGTTAATTTATGAAAAAAATAAAATAAAAATAATTGCTGACTCCTAAAACTGTTTCCCCTAATAAAAAATCCGATGATGATAGAAAACTAAGTGTCAAGTTAGTTCATTTTAGACAGATAGCTAAAGAATGATAACTACAACAAACTCATGTTATAAGTGTTTTTTATATGCCCAAAGTTGAGTGCTAAGACTCATGAATATATTCTTTTGCCCAAAAAATTTAAATGGTTAAATAAAATTTTAAAATTTATTTAAATTGATGTTTCATAAGCTTAATTATGATTTATATTGAATAATATAAGTCACTGACTAAAGTTAGGCTCAACTATGACACTCTTACACTCTTTAGGACATAATATATATATATATATATATATATATATATATATATATACATATATATATATATATATATATATACATATATATATACATATATATATATATATATATATATATATATATATATAAAATATGGGCACAGGACTAATTGTATTAGAAATTAGACCTCAAGAGCTTTCCAACGATATATTATAAACCCAATTCCGACTTCGCAATCAAAAGTTATGGGTTTCGGAAAATCAGACTTTTTGCAGGAGTGGAATTGTTAGAATCGGTATAGAATCGTGGAATTGGTTTGATTCCACCGATTCTTTGACTGATTCTACTGCACAGCTATGCTACCGACGACTTACATCGTTTGGGTGGATTAGGAACTGAATCGCGATTTTAATAACATTGGATAGATTTGTTTAGGATAAAAAGTATTTATAAAATAATTTATAATTATTTTGAAATTTTTTTATCTTTATATATATATATATATATATATATATAAAGATAAAAAAATTTCAAAATAATTATAAATGAATAATATATATTGTTTCAACTCTCTTTTTGCATCTTACATTTTAAAAAAAATACTAATAATAATAATAATAATACAAAACATGGTATCCGGGGCAACGTCCGGGGCAAGTACTAGTATATATATAAAGGGGAGTTTTTTCCCAAGTTTTTAGAGCGCCACGTAAAATTTTAATTCTTAAATAATTATTAGAGCGCCACGTAAGATTAATATTTTTAAAACGCTACAATCGGATTATGCCACGTAAAATTAGTTTTTTTTTAAAAGCGCTACATAGGATTATAATAAAAAAAAAGCCACGTAGGATTAATATTTTTAAAACGCTACAATAGGATTATGCCACGTAAGATTAGTTTTTTTAAAGCGCTATGTAGAAATATAATAATAAATAAACATTTATGAGAGCGTCACATAGGAAAATGTTATATTTTAGCCAATGAAAAAAAGAATTGCAATTATTTTAGATCTAACATTTTATATTAATTATAAAAAAAAAAAAATCAGCGCGTTTTCTATGTAGCTGGCCATATCGTGTGGCCAGCTGAGATACACCAAAACACTGACCGAGTAATCCCTAACCGTCCGAGTAACCCATGATTGATTAAGTAACCCTTGACCAACCGAGAAACCTTGACCAAGTAATCCCGGCTACACGATGTGACCGGTCACATATAAAATTTTGTGAAATAAAATATTATCTTTTTATATTAGCAATTTTTATCTAAATATGAAAAAAAAATTAATAATCCATTTTATAATAAAAAAAATTAAAGTATTAAATAAGAGAATATCACAAATTTATCAGATAAATATATATTTAGCAAAATATTTTGTTTGAAAAAATACAAACAAACCGTGCATCGTACGAATTTCATCAAGTTTTCTTTAATTACAAGTTTGCCATAAAATATGTTTTAGTCTTTCATAACTACGGTATCATCTATTGCGAAAATGATAAAATACCAAGCAAGGATTGATATAACTAATTGGAGATGCACCTTAAAAAGAAAAGGTTTGGGGAAAAAAAAAATACAAGAAGAAATAAAAAGATTGAGAAAGAAAGTCAAGAAAATCCAACATAAGTTTGGTGACTGTTTTATCTCCCCAAACTCTTTTTGTATTTTGGTCATTGTTGGAGATATTCCATCAGGGTTGACCTATCTTAAAAATTATTGTGTTTATCATCTAAAATTTAAAAATTAAATTAATTTATGAAAAGTAAAGTAGTACCAACAATGTTTCGGTGTCGACTCACACAAATAAAAAGGAGTACGGAGTATAATACTGATAAAATGGTACCAATTCAACAAAGAATTATTAGTAGCAAGGTTGATACTTAATACTACTTTCTCCATTTTATAATGTAAGTTCCATTTAAAATCTTTTAAGTATTAAATTAGAGGGAATCTTATAAATTTCTCTCTATATATAACAACAAATATAGTCAAATAATATCTAGTTTTATTCGTCTTGATAAGTACATTATTAATATCTAATTTTTATAATTTTTAATAGTGTGTGTTTAAAAATATTTGCAATCAAAATTTCACATTAATATACGTAAATGGGACTAACATTATGAAACGGAGGGAATAATAACTTAAAATGATTAATCTACCTATTGATCTGGCAATTGGTTGAACCACGTGATGGTAGGTTACTATCTCTCTCTAGAATTAGTGTTATATACCTGGGTGTACGGTACACCCAGGGTTATTATTGTCATTTCACGCGTTTTTGCTTGTACACATGATACCTGGGTTCACGCTTTACTCATTTTCCTGTTCTTTTTTTTATTTTCTCTCTCTTCCTTCTCTATTTCTGGTCTTTAATTTCCAGAATTACCATAATTTTGTTTCCTTTCTTCAATTTCTTTATCGAAATTTTCCAGATTTTGCTTAGAATTGCTTCTAGTTGCTACAATGGCGGAATCTTGGTAAATTTCCTCTCTTTTTTTTTCAATTTTTGTTTGTGTTTTTGGTTACATTATGATTAATTTCATGTATTTTTGTTCAATCATACTTCGAATTAAGTTTCATGTATTTTCGTGGTGAACTGCTAAACGTCGATCCTAATTTACCAAGCATCGCTTCCATTTTGACATGAAAGGATGATATTCCCCTTGCTGTAACTTGGACTATATAATGCTCCATTATGACACATGTGGGCATTTTAATATCATTCCGACCCCACCACTAAGTACCACATGGCTAAAAAATTTCTCGAGCCCACCACATCCAACCCCACGACATCCAACCCAAAATTCCCGAGCCCACCACCAAAAATCCGATTTTTTTTCTTAAAAAATTTATTAAGCTTTAACGACGGGTTTATGACGATGGACGACGACAACGATCATACACCGGAGGCATTGTTGGAGGATTCTGTAAGTCCTCGAACTTTTTATTTTATTTTTTTAAATGCAAACTTCCACCTTAAATATCCGAATACACCTTGGTGGATCTGCTTAAAATTTCTGGATCCACCATGGAAGATCCGGAAATTGTAGATGGATGTGTACATCTGCCTAGAATTTCCGGATCTTTCATGGTGGATCCGTAAATTTTAAGCGGATCCACCTAGTAGGTGGATCTGGATATTCTAGGCGGATGTCTTTTTTTTTTTTTTTGTATTTTATTGATTAATTATAATCAAATTTATTAATGTAATATTTGTATGATAATTATAATTTTTATTGTGATTATTATTATTTTTGTGATAATTTGAGTAATTAGTATTAGTATTAGTATTATTAGTTAATATTAGTTATTTTTGTGATATTAAGTAATATTAGTTAATGTTGTAATATTTGTTAATGTTAGTGTTAGTTAATATTAGTTAATGTTGTGATATTAGTTAATGTTAGTGTTAGTTAATATTAGTTAATGTTGTGATATTAGTTAATGTGATGATGTTAGTTAATGTGATAATATTAGTTAATGTAGTGATAATGTTGTGATATCAGTTAATGTTGGAGAATTTTGTGTGTTTTCTTTTATTGTTATTGGAATTGAAGTCTGAAGACGGCGGTGATGGTGTGAATTATAGTGTGGAGTTTGTCACGGACGCGTTATTTCCAACGTTTGATGATACAGTTAAATGGGCGGATGTTGTTTCCATAAATCTGGGATTTATTTTGGTTAAATCGTCTTACAACAAAACCAGAGATGGTCGGTCGTATCGATATTTGAGATGTGATCGAGGACAGAAAAGCAAGCCGAGAGATTTTGAGAACGCAATACGAGAGGACACAAAAACCAAAGCTATTGGTTGTCCTTTCTACATCATGATATATTATGAATTCATCACAGACGATTGGAAGATCCGTGTAAAAAATGATGAAATTGGGATCCATAACCATCCAATGATTGTGTATCAGGAGGGTCATCGAAATATTAGTGGCTTGAGCCCAGATGCAAAAAAGGTTATGCGTGACATGAAAAATTCCAAGGTTGCACCGCGTAACATCATGGCAACTATTGCAGAGCAATTTCCTGATGATCATCCAAACATCAGACACATTTACAATTGCCGGAATGACTTGAGAACGGAGATGTCTGAAGGCAGTGGAGTTGTTCAGCAATTTCTTCATTTGGAGAGACAGAATCAATATATTTACTGGGTCATGGCCGATGACCTCGACGTTCTACGACATGCATTTATGGTGCACCCAATCATGGTAAACATACTACGCATATACCCACATGTAATCGGTATGGATTCGACATACAAGACCAACCGATACGGGATGCCGTTCTTTGAGATAGTAGGTGTAACACCGACAAATCAGAATTTCCTCGTTGGTTATGTCTTCATGCGCAACGAGTGTACGGCAAGCTATCGGTGGGTGTTGCAGAGATTAAGGGAGTTGATTGGGTATGATAAAGAACCATCGGTATTTTTGTCAGACCGTGAACTTGGCCTCTGTGCGGCATTGAGAGAAGTGTTTCCAGGGACGTCGCATTTACTTTGTCGATGGCACATTGACAAAGATGTGGAGGCTAGGGTGACTGATATGTTTAAAAATAAGAAGATCGGTGCAAGTTTTAAAAATGGCAAAATGGAAACGTATCATGGATGCTACAACCGAGGCGGATTATAATGTTGTCGTAAATACAATGAAAGCTAGGTGGGCAAGTTATCCGGCAGTGATTACTTACGTTAAGAGAACATGACTTTGTCATTAAATCAATTTTGTGACATTTTGGACGAACCAAGTTCTTCACTTTGGTAACACGAGTAATTATAGAGTTGAGAGCCAACATTTGACAGTGAAGACGTGGTTTGAATCATCGACAGGTTCGTTGTTATAATGTTGTAGTTGTTGTCTTTACTTCGTTTTAGTAATTTTAAGGAAATTTTGTTAATTACTACCTCAAAAATAGAGGCTTTGTGAATTACTACCCCTAAAAAAATGTTTAATTACTACATCTAATTCACCAAAATAGGACCAATTACTACTAATTGCACTTTCCGTTGACTTAACTCACCTTATGACGTCATTACTCCAATTTAACCACAGTTCACCCTTTTCGCGCCCGCGTCTTCCTGCAAACAAAGACAAGGAAACCCGCGCCTGCGGCCTTGTGTGCCGCGCCCGCGGGTGGCTGGGGAGAGCCCTTTCCAAGACCGCGACTAACCTTCTACAGGTTCAAAAGATGAACCACAGTTCAACCTATTCGCGCCCGCGGCCTGGACACCCGCGCCCACAGCTCCCTGCAAACAAAGCCCTGAACAGCCGTGCCCGCGACCTTAGGTGCTGCGCCCGCGGATGACTGGGGAGAGCCCTCTCCAAGGGCACGGCCAGCCTTCTACAGGTTCAAAAGACGCGGGCGCGGACAGGGTAGTAATCGGTACTATTTAGGTGAATTAGTAATTAAAAACTTTTTTTTTGGGGTAGTAATTCACAAAGCCTCTATTTTTGAGGTATTAATTAACAAAATTTCCTAATTTTAATTAAAAATCATAATGTTTTTTTATAATCTGAATCAACGACATGTTCTTTGGATACCGTATGGGCCCGAGTACATTGTCATATTGGTAATCAGATCATTGCAATTCGTAATGGTTTGAAGGCATCAAGATCGAAAATTGGTGGGGAGAAGTACAGACAATTGTTATTGTCATGTATAAATGGCAAAGTGTCTCAACATTGTTTGAAAATTCTCGGTGATGAGACGAGAAGGATGAGGAAGTTGAGTTACCAGGTGTATGAGCGTTGTGGATGTGCAATGCGTGTGACCCATGGTTTACCATGTGCTTGCCAGATACATGATTTGCTAGTTGCATAGTCAGGCTTGTATAGCAGGCAAATTCATCCATTCTGGAGTACCTTGGTTATTGGTGATGGTGTTGATATACCTGTGTTCGTTAACGATTCAACCAAGGAAGTTGCACATTTTCGTTCCCTGGTTGATGAGGTCATTGGTAGTGATCCTACTATACTTCGAAATGTATCTTGCATCATTGAAGAGGAGCTGCAACCGGATCATACAAACCTTGAAGAACCACATGTAAACCACAATGTTCGAGGTTGACGAAGGAACAATGATACCAGGCGTGATCCTTGTTATTTCGAACATGTAAACCGTCAGGGCACCCGCTCGAGAGTTCGTGATCGCTACAGTTGGTGGGTCACATTTCATCCGTCTTGATCTTGCACAAGATTCACCTCCTCCCCCGATTGTAGGTTGGTGGACCGAGCACCACGAGCCAAGTGTTGATGGATGGGATCAGCAATATAAAGTTAGAAGGAACATATGGGGTGCATTAATTAGGTAGTGAACTCATTTATGTACTTTCACTAAGGTTGAACAGTAATTAAACTAAGTTCCAACAAAACCAAATATGAAAGTGTCCAGTTCTTATATTACATGCCAAATACAAAGTAATATAAAATAATGAAGACAAGTAACAAAAATGCAACCACTAATACGAATAAAGAGTAATCTACAACCCCATCATCGCCTTCCAGTCAACTATCAGCTGCTCAGTCATTACCCTTGTTTCACGCGACATGTTGGGATACTCATCCAGTGCTCTTTGGTGAATCTCCATGGACCGGCTCATCCACTGCAAATAAGAAAACAACATATTATAGAAATTACAATTACTGGAAGTTGGATTAATAGTATAATAAAACACAACTACTTACATAATTCGTGTTAGTCCTCTCAGGTAGACTGCTACTCCCAGCTGATGAACCCCCAGGAGATACACAAGGGTGAGAAAATCTATACAGCCACTGCATGTAACCAGGAGCAACCGTAGGAGCTCGACGACTAAGTCTGGTGAGGGCACCTAAAACTACACTAATAGACGAACCAGGGACAAACCTAGTCCACACCGCAAATGTCATCTCGGTCGGAAATTCTACCCAATACATCTTCAAGCTGGTCGGTCTCTTGGCCTCCTTAGGCCTGATAATGTTCCTTGGAATGTCCTGCACGAATCCAAGTTGTTGAACCACTCGATCAGGCATGTACGACTCAATGATGCTACAGTACTGGATGCAGCCAATAAATAAAGTGGGTGGAACGTGTCGTGTAGGATCAACTCCGTACGGGAGCTAGTTAACCTCACGGTCAGTCAGCTCATCCAGTATAGCACGAAAAGCTAAGAGGCGCTCCATGCTCTTGTTAGGGCATTCCGATCCAACATCCCAAGCAGACGCATGAGGGATATTAATCTCCCTTGTCAAGGTACCCTGCTAGGCCGAAAACACGGAAAGTACTCGTAAATCCACGCTTGCAGAAGCGTGAGACAACCAGCGATCGAATCAGCATCTTTTCGTGATGTCGTACCCAAATGCCGATATAAGTAGGCTAGAGTAGCTGAACCCCAAGATTACTCATTAATCAGAACATCATCAACAATAAGCTCGTGGAGGAAGGAAGGATGAGTGCGGTTACCACTCTTGTCTAAAAGCAGTGATCCCCCTAGTACTAACCACATGTATGCAGTATAATGGACACTAAAGGGCCTCTGTGCCTCCAAAGTCGTACCAAAAATCCTCTCAGTCAGCACCCCACTACCCTGCCAAATGGTTTTAGTACCGCACTTCTCATTCAACTCTTCCGCATTCATATCTATGGTAACCGAGCATGCGTCCCATATGGCGTTCGTGATAAGAGTAGTGGAAACCATAGAACCATCAACACGAAGCCTAAGAATATGGTACACATCGTGCAGCATGATCATGATCTCCCCAAATGGCATATGAAATGTGTTCGTATCTGGCTGCCATCTTTCAACAAAAGCAGAAATCAACGGCCAGTCGAGACGCTTAAACATAATTCTGGGCAAGTGAGACATACCACTACCATCAATCAATTCGAAGTGCTCCTGTGCAAGACGACGTCGCCAATTAACCAATTCAGAACACAACCGTGTCCTACTCAAACAGCGCAAAACATTTCGCTCTGTCCCGCCCCATATATATGACGCCACGTGGCCACCACAACTAGGGATAACAGTCCCATCCTCAAGACCACCTGGCATCGGGTGCTGCACTAACCATGTCTCTGCTGAGCTAGTAGTAGGTTGACTCGCTTGACTACTGACAAATCTCCCATGCTGGCCCCTATATATCGTATGATAATCCTGAGGGTCATACTCTTCGTCTGGATCAGCATGACTTGTCCGCTCTTCGTCCTTATCGTTAGATGTAGGCAATCCACCCGACGAGTACATGGGGAGGCTCCCTTGTGACTGATGCTCTCCCAACCAACTACTAGGAGACCCATATTGCTGCTCATGACGAAATGGTGCCCCCGTAATTATTGAAAGACCTGACTTCCTCCTAACAGACGCATTCAAACGACGTGATATTGCATGACGAGCATCCGAACCCTCAATCTACATTAAATAAGTACAAAATCAAATACCGGTAATAATTACAAATATAACTATTTGATTACAGTTGAACAACAAATATTAATATTAAAAAAAATTATTTCAGAACAACATCATCACCAACAACATTATTAAAATTAATAAGGACGATAATAATAATAATAATAATAATAATAACAATAATAATAATAATAATAATAATAATAATTACAATAATAACAATAACAATATTAATAACAATAACAATAATAATTACAATAATAACAATAACAATAATAATAATATTAATAACAATAACAATAATAATTATAAACCACATATTTCGCAATATACTAATAACAATAGTACAAAACAACAACAACAACAACAACAACAACAACAACAACAACAACAACAACAACAACAATAATAATAATAAAACTATTAACAATAATAATAACAACAACAACAACAACAACAACAACAACAATAATAATAATAATAATAATAATAATAATAATAATAATAATAATATTACTAATAATAATAACATTTCTAATATTAATAACATTACTAATAATAATAATATTATTAATCAGTTTTTTTAAAAAAATTAACCACGAAAAAAAAATGGAACATCCGCCTGAAATTTCCGGATGAACCAAGGTGGATCCATCTGAAATTTCCGGATCCTCCTTGGTTCATCCGGAAATTTCAGGCGGATGTATAGTGTTGCAATTTTTTTTTCGATTTAAACACATACATGTTCGCCTCCGATGCCGCCGCCTCGACCACCGTATGTCAACCGGATTCGCCGCAGGTCCGCCATCGCCGGATTTTTTTTCCCCTCCTTGGATTGGTGGCTGTTGGTGGTGGGTTGTGGATGTGTTTACTTTTATTTTCTGCTTTTTTTTCACATTTTTAAATTTTATAGAGATAAAATGAGAGTGAAGTATAAGAGTAAAATGTGATTTCAGAAATGAGTGTCGTGAGTATTTATTTACGAGGGGTAAATATGGAATTTCAAGCAAAAAATGCGAGCAATGGCTTGTAAAATGCGAGCGACGTTTAACAACCCTCCGGGTGATTAATTATACTTCGTATAAACTTTTTCTGCTCAATTTTTTCAGAATTTTTTGCTTAATTATAATTCGTATAAAATTTTGTGCTCAATTTTTTATTTTGCTCAACTTTGTACGGAGTATTAAATATACTTCTTAAGTTTCATGTATTTTTGTTTCAATTTCTGTTTTATTTTCATTAATGTGCCCTTCATTGTGTTCAATTTCTGTTTAAATTTCATTAATGTGTCATTAATTGCTCTTTTTGCTCACTTTTTTGGTGTAATTGTTTTTCTTTTATGTGTGATGAATTGCTCATGTTGCTCAATTTTTTTTATAATTTTTGTTTTATGTTTGCTCATTTTTCCTATGTTTTTTCATTTTATGATTTTTTTGCTCATTTTATGTTTTTTTGCTCATTTATGTTTTTGTTCTCATTTGCATGGTATATTTTTGCTCATTTTATTTTTGATTGATTGCCCAATATACTAGTGGTTCTAATAATGATTATGTGTACTCACTATATAATAGTCTATGCTTTATTTGACTGTATTGCAATCAGGCATATCTGGGACAATTATGAACATGCTATAGTTAATTCTGAGTCCCAGGCTTCTTTTGCTGAAAGAGTGCTATGGGTTGCTGATAAGATTAACAAGGAGGAACTTTGTGTGCTATTGTCAATTGCGTGGTCAGTTTGGTTTTGTAGGAACAAGAGTATTTTTTAAGGTGTGGCTCTGAATATTAATGTAATGGCAGCTAGTTTCGCAAAGTTAATACATGATTACAAAATGTATGCAACGAAGGTTTTCCCTCCCAAGTTATCTAGTATGTCTCACATTGTAGCTGCGTGGTTTGCCCCTCCTTCTAGCATTATAAAAATTAATTTTGATGCCTATTTCAGCTTAAACTCATCTGGTGGCATAGGTGCAGTAGCTAGGGACAGTGAGGGGCATGTTTTATGGGCTGCAGTCCGAAGAATTCCAATGGGGTGGGATGTTGAAACAGTAGAAGTTGTTGCTGCCCGGTTTGGTTGTCAGGTGGCAAGAAGGTTGGGTTTGCAGCGAGTGTGGCTTGAAGGAGATGCTTTGACAGTGATTAACACCATTAATGGTTCCTCTCATGCATGGTCCCCTATTTGGCTCATTTTTCCTATGTTTGTTCATTTTATGATTTTTTTTGCTCATTATGTTTTTTTGATCATTTATATTTTTTTTCATTTTATTTTTGTTCTCATTTATATGTTTGCTCATTTTATTTTTGATTGATTGCCCAATATACTAGTGGTTCTGATAATGATTATGTGTACTCATTGTATAATAGTCTGTGCTTTTGTATACCAGAAATGAATAGCATTGGTGGTATACTAGTGCTTTTGCCTAATATACTAGTGCTTTTGTACCAGAAATGATTATTTGCTTATTTGTATTGTAGTAAAGCTCCTGATGTTAATGATTATGCGCAATAAATTCAGCCACAATGTTCCGATAATCAGACTTTTAAAGTAGAATATAAGTTGAAGAGGTTTAAAACATTACCTTTGAGGGATAAAGGGGAAAAGATTTTGAACAAAAAAGTAGAAAAACAGAAGGTTGTTGGTAAAGGTAAACAAAAGGTTGTTGGTAAAGGTAAAGAGAAGGCTA